AACTCTGTGGCAAAGAAAAGGATAAGATCAGACTACTCTACTGATAGGCCTCCTTTTCTTCCCCATTGACTCACCACTATGGACTCTGACCCTGCCCCCTGTGGCACAAACACCTCCTCAATTAATCCACTGTCATTCTATTAAAATCCCAATTCCCTACCATTTCCCAATTTCTTACCCAAAACCAATTTCTTTCTGGGTATATCTTATTTCCCCCACTAGGTATTGAAGATAATAGGCAATGTAAATTCAGTTCTTAAATAAAGTGGATAAATTTAGAAAAAAAGAAAGAGGCAGATGCTGATATTTTACTACTGGAAAGGTAAGAAATGCACAGCCAATTGAGGACAATGAGGACAAGGATGACTATGAGGCTAAAGACAATGAAAAAGATGAAGAAGAAGGAGAAGGAGAAGAAGAAAAAGAAGGAGGAGGAGAAGGAGGAAGAGGAGAAGGAAGAGGAAGAAGGAGAGAAGGAAGAGGAGGAGGAGGAAGAGGAGATAAGAAGGAGAAGAAAAAGAGGAAGAAGAAAGAGAAGGAGAACAGTAAGAAGAAAAAATAGAAGGGGAAGAAGAAGAGGAAGAAGAAGAATCTGAAGGAAAAAAGGAGAAGGTGAAAAAGAAGATGAAGATGAGAAGGAGAAGGAGAATGAGAAGGAGATGAAGTAGGAGAAGATGATGAGGATGAACACAATGAAGTAGAAGAAGGGGAAAGAGATGAAGGGGAAGGAGAAGGAGAAGGAGATGACAAAGAAGAAGAGAGTTCTATCACAAGTAATGCCCAGGGTACACATGAAAATAAAGACCTTTAGGATGTGTTGTCTCTCTAGAAATAATGATTGAAAATGGTCATTATTTAGATATTAAAAGCTAAATGGCATATTTAAATAAATACTAGCATGTGTATAAAGGAAACATGTTTGTATCTCTATGTGTTCTTTGATGATGGGGAGGGAGCATGTATGTGAGAATGAAGGAACATGGAATTCTACAAGTTTGGGCACCAGACCTGCCATTCCATAGCCAGACACTGAGAATAAGGACAACGTGAAGAGTGAAGATGAGTTTTTTCATTAACACTTTATCATACTGGCAAGGAAGAAAAAGAAGTTTTTTCTGCTTGTATTTGGCATTGGGGGGGGGTAGAGGAGATGGAGAACAGGGTGTTGTGTGAGGGTTGGCAGTGTATAATAATGAATCTGATTTCCATTTTAGATGTTAGACTATTTACAGGTTAAAGCTTCATTCCATTCTCTTGCCTGTCCAGCCAACATTTGGACAAGCTGATAAAAAAGGATTTTCTGATCATAAAATAGAAAGAAACATGTCTAAACTTAAACATTAGAACTATTGTATTGCCGTAAGGTCCCATAGTCAAAGCACCTATTGTCCTAAAATATTTTCTAGTGCCTAATGGCAATCTGAACTAATGAATAGCAAAATAAATGTTTTGACTCTATAATCAGCTTGAAAAAATGTTACCCTGTGGACCTTCCTCCCTACTTATAAAATAACACCCTTGTTGAAAGAGGACCCAATGTAAATGAAAAGAGGACTTCCACAGATATAAACCCATTATATAAGACCTAGTTAGAGAAGGTATAATTGTTTCTACTGTTTCTGAATTTAACAGACAAATTTTACTTGCTCTTAAACATGAAGAGTATGATTGGTGCCTTATTGTGAATTCTCATGCCATTCATGTTGTGGTCACACCCATTAGAGATCCATATATAATATTAAAATTGCCAATTTTACACAAAGAAACTGGTAAATAATTAGCAGTGATAGCAAAGTATTTGCCTAGCATGTTCTACTCAGTACCTGTTTCAACAGACTGTAACTAAAGTTAACTGTCACAATTAGATATAATACACATTTACCTGGGTACTCAGTAGGGTACCTCTCCAGTCCTGCCATCTCTCATTATCTTTGCAGACAGTATCTTCACCACATCTAGCTTCACAAATTAAGTTTAGCAAATTAATATATAGTGGCATGAAGCCTTTTTAAAGTAATCCTCAATCATTTTACTCAACCTGGACCTATTTGTAAGACCCATAAGTCTCAGGTCCAAAAATAAGATTTAACTAAATCTGTATTTACCTTGTGAACATTTGTAGCATCTTAAGCAGTTGTTGGTCCCTTTTCTATATAGAGCTTGGTTGGATAGCCTGTTCAATATACAAGTCCATGGGGTAGGCACTCATTGAGGAGGAGGAGTTCCTACAAGGGATGCTGATGTCACACACCTGAAGATTCACTAGGAACATGCATAATGCTTCTGCTGTTGCTGCCCATCTCTCTCTCTCTCTCTCTCTCTCTCTCTCTCTCTCTCTCTCTCTCTCTCTCTCTCACACACACACACACACACACACACACACACACACACACACACACACACACACAGCATCCTGATCCTCAGGGTTCTAGAGAGAAACATCCCAGTCACCCCTGTGACAAATCAAATCCAAATGATTAATTCAGTAACTTCCATGTGACATTCAAAACCATGAAGGTACTGACTAGGTTTGAGGTTTTCCAGAAGAAAAGAAAATACATATGTGTAAAGTGGTAGAGAAAATCAGTGATGTGTATCCAGGAAACATGCACATACACACCCCATATGCAACCTGGGAAGAGCCAGGTGTTGGAGTGAAGTGTGATTCATCTATTAATTGGAATTTCAGTATGGGTATTTAGTTCTTTGGTGTTTTAGATAAGATCTTCAAAATACTAAGGAATGTGCTACATTATTCACAATAGTCAAGGTAAGAACTAATATAAGTGTCCATCAATTGATGAAAAGATGAATAAGATGATCTACACACACAGAACATTTATACACAATATAAATGTTCTATACACAAGCACCACATCGCTAAAATGTAGAATATTAAAAATAGTAACAGTCAAACTAATTGAAATGGAGAGTAGAAAAGTGTTTTCCAGGGGCAGAGTAGTTAAGGTTTTCTAAATCAAGAGATGTAGAAAACTGTACAGCCACAAGGATCCCAATGAGGCCTTGTATGATGACTAAATGATAATACAGCATCCTGAATGGGATCCTGGGGCAGAAAAAGCACAGTAAGTAAAAACTAAGGAAATCTTAATAAAATAAAATCAATACAGCAGAACCACACTTCTTGAACTTCATTTCATTCAGAAGGCTGTTTGAGAAGTGATTTGTTCAAAAACCAAAATCAGACCTCGCCAGTTTGTCTCAGAGGATAGAGAACCAGTCTATGGACTGAAGGTTCCTGGGTTCAATTCTGGTCAAAGGCACATAGCCAGTTTTGTGGTCTCATCCCCAATAGGGGGCGTGCAGGAGGCAGCCGATCAATAATTCTCTAACATCACTGATGTGTATATCTTTCTCCCTCTGCCTTTGCCTTTTGAAATCAATAAAAAATATAATAAAATAAAAACAAATAAGTTTTCCCATTAGACATATATGGAAGTTGAATGAATCCATTACACACACACACACACACACACACAGACACACACAAATGATTTCCTGTTTTAACCTCTTATATAATGTATATGCATAAGTACTATTTAATCTAAAAAAACACTTATTTTCTTACATTTACAAAAACACACACACAAAAAAAACACACAAACAAACAAACAAACAAACAAAAAAAAAAAAAACGGTGCTAGCTGTAAATGAATCCCATTCCATGCTCCTTTAAGGGGTCTCCTTCAAGATGACCACATGCAGCATTTTGAAATTTTCATTTATCATTGCCTCCCACATGCTATCACTGGCTAACCACTTTTCTTTTTTTTAAAAAAAATATATTTAATTGATTTTTGTACAGAGTGGAAGGGAGAGAGATATAGAGTTCGAAACATCAATGAGAGAGAGTCATCGATCAGCTGCCTCTTGCACACCTCCTACTGGGGATATGCCCGCAACCAAGGTACATGCCCTTGACCAGAATCAAACCCGGGGCCCTTCAGTTCCCAAGCCGACACTCTATCCATTGAGCCAAACCGGTCCCGACTAACCACTTTTCATTTATCCAAATCAACAACAATTTTTCTACCTCGTCAATTGCGTGTGATTGTTGTTTTGTGAGCATTTTCACATCCTTACCCAGCATTGGAGCTCTTAATGACCTCTTTATGTTTTAAAATTGTGCTTATCAGATTTTGCCAGCAACAAAAATATTTCTTCTTTGTTTGTTGTATGAGAGATGCTTTGTGTCATACAGAGGTATCAGTCAAAAAGGGCTGTCAGGTCAAGAACTGAAGTTTTATTCCACAAGTGTTACAGTTTTACCTGGAACAACTTGGTCTAGAATAAAGTATTAATAGTTTGATATTGGAGATATTATAGAACTGAGGTTGAATGTAACTGTTTCACTGATGGTTCACTACATGTTACAATTGCACATAACAATGTAAATTATTCATGACAAGGGAAATGGGGTATTAGGCATATGGCTATTAACCTTCATATCTAATCTGTAAATCTAAAAGTATTCTAAAATAAAACAACCATTAAAAGAACACTCAAAATATTAGGTAATGATATATATGGGGGATGGTAGAATGAGCCACTGAATGGATGTGGGGTATGAGACATGGCTTGGAGGAAACACCTCCTCCCTGCCATGTGCTGGACAATAATTGAATTACAGGAAATTAGGGAGCAAGAGGTTAGTTTGGGAAATATTTTAGGAGCTATTTAGGAAGAAGCTCCACTTTCTCTAACCATATCATCTAAGTCCTATCCATTGCCACCCCCCCACACACACATACGCACTCCTTCAAGGATGGTCAAGCTGCAGCTTTGTGATGTCAAGCCATACCATGGCAACCACAGAGCATTGGCCAATCAGAACTGAAGGGTGTGGCTCCTCATTGTCCTGGAGAGTATATATAGAGGCCAGGAGCCTCTGAGTATGGACTGTTGCTACAGCAAAGCCAAGGTTACTAAGAAAATCCTGTAATCTAGGATAGATAACGAATCAGACTCCAACGGCAAGGATGGATCAAGAAATTTCAAGTACTACCGGGAATTGGAAGTCTGTTTCCCAGCTCGGTGACAAAGAAAAAGATAAGGTCAGGCTACCCTACTCATATGCCCCTGCTTCTTTACCAATAATTCCTCACCACAGACCCTTCTCCAATCAATCATTGTCATTCATTTACAAGCCCCTTTCCCACACATTTCCAAATATCTTCCTCTAAACCAATGACTTTCTGGGTTTACCTTCTTTCCCAAATAGAAAACGAAGAAAATGGCGAAGGTGAGTTCTGGCATCAAACAGTGTGAAGAAAAGAATGAAAAAGATAGAAAGAATCAGAAAATTGCATTTTCCTCCAGGAAGGGTAGAAAAACTACAGTAAGCAAGCCCGAAGATGAAGAAGAAGTACCAGAGTGTTCTTCGACCACAAGTGATGCCCAGTGTCTCCCAGATGAAGACCCTTAAGTATTTGTAGCTTCTCTACCAAAAAACTTAAGAAGTGGGCATTATGAGGAGATCAAAACATAAATGGTCTCCTTGAATAAATATTAGTGTTGTATAAAGGAAATGTGCTTGTATTTTTGTGTGTTTTGGGGGGATGGGTAGGGAGCAAAGTAAGGGCAGGTATGTGAGAAGGGAGGGAGGTAGAATTCTGGTAGTTTGTGCACCAGACCAGCGAGTCTATAGTTAGTCACCGAGAATAAGGACTAGGTGTAGACCAAAGAAGAATTTTTTCCTTAACAGTTTATCATACAAGTTAGGAAGAAAATGAGTGGGTGATTTTGCTTGTGTTTGACACTGGCAAGGGGAGGAGGGCAGAATAATGTTGTGTGAGGGTTCGCAGTGTATAATAACAAGTCTGATTCCACTTTAGATATTAAACTTTTGACAGCTTTCAGCCTCATTCCTTTCACTGCACCATCTAGTCCACATTAGGACAAGCATATAAAAAAGGGAACAAGTATGCCTAAACTTAATCATTAGAACTATTGTGTTGCCGAAATTTCCCATAGCCAAAGCACTCTGTCCTATAATATTTTCTAGTGCATAATGAGAATCAGGCACAATGAGTAGAAAAATTATTTTTTGTGGAACTTAAAATTACCCCGTGGAACTTCTTCGCTACATATAAAACAACGTTCACCCTGGTTGACAAATGGCCCAATGTAAATGAAAATATGGCTTTCACAGGTAGTCTCCCATTATATAAGACCTACTTAGACAAGGAATAATCATCCATAGTGCTTCTGAATTGATCAGCCAGATTTGACTTGATCATAAACCTGAAAAGCATGATTGGCTCCTCAGTGTGAATTTTCAGATTATTAATGTCATGGTCCCAGCCATTAGGGATCCATATCTAATTTTATTAAAAATACTAATTCTACACAAAGAAACTGGTAAATAATTAGCAGTCATAGCAAAGTATTTGACTGACATGTTCTATTCAGTACCTTTTCCACAGACTATAGCTAAAGTTAACTTCAACCTTAGAGATAAAATACATACACCTTCACTTGGGTACTCAGTAGGATACCTCTCTAGTCCTATTATTTTTCAATATTGGGGAAATTTCTTCACCAGATATATCTTGGCAAATTAGTCAGGTTAGAAAATTAACATACAGCATCAGGAGTCCTCCATAAAGTAATCCTATATCATTTTACTCAACCTGGACCTATTTGTAAGTTTCAGATTGAATCATATGTCCCAGTCTGAAAATAAGATGTGACTGACACTATGTTTACCTTGTGAACATTTGTTGCGACTTAACCAGTCTCCTTTCTACATAGAGTTTGTTCAGGTAGTCCATTGGGTAGTCCCTCGTGGAGGAATAGCAGTTACTCTGTGGGATGCTAATGTCACAAACCTGAAAGCATAAGACTCAGTAGGACCTTGCATAGTTTTCTGCTGTTGCTTCCCACATCTCTCTCTCTCTCTCTCTCTCTCTCTCTCTCTCTCTCTCTCTCTCTCTCTCTCTCTCTCAATTTCTCTCTCTCTCTCTCACACACACACACACACACACACACACACACACACACACACACACACACACACACTGGATTCTAGGGAGAAACATCCATTCCATGACAAACCCGTGGCAAAGCCAATAGAAGAATTCAGCTACTATCCTGCAGAGTGCCATAACCCTGATGGTACTTACTATGTTTGAGGTTCTCCGGAAAAACAAATGAAATAAATATGAGAGGAGTCGTAGAGATAATCAATGAAGTATACTCAGTAAAGATACACAACCCACATGCAACCTGGGAAAGTTGGCTAGAAGAGCCAAGTGTTGGAGGAAAGTGTGATAATTCATGTCTTTATTAAAATATAAAAAATGGGTATTCATATCTGTGGGGTTTTGGGTAAAAATCCAAAAAACTAGGTAATATGCTGCATTATTCACGACAGCCAAAATATGTAATGTTAGTGTTCATCAATAGATGAATGGATAAAAATGTTATGCTGACACAATACACAGGCCCCAACTGCACCACATCATATGTATGTGGAATATTAAAAATGGAAACAGGCCAACTTATTGAAACACAGAGTAGGAAAATATTTGTCAGCGGCTGAGGGGTGGAGGAAAGGGAGAGCTTGGTAAAAGGGTACAAACCTCAACTATAACATCAATATCTTTTGAGGATTTACTGTAAAAAACAAACAAACCAAAAGTTTAAGGTTCCTTAAAATAAGAAGTCAGGAAACTATACAGCCAAGAGGACCCCAATGAGGTATGGCATGATGACTAAAATTTAATATGGGATCCTGGGGCAGAAAAAGCACATTAAGTAAAAACTAAGGAAATCTTAATAAAATAAAGACTTCAATAGAGTAGACTTGAACTGTTTGAACTTAATTTGTTTCAGAAGGCTGTTTGAGAAGTGATTTGTTCAAAACTCAAATCAGTCCTAGCCAGTTGTCTCAGTGGATAGAGCATCAATCTGTGGACTGAAGGCTCTAGGGTTCTATTCTGGTCAAAGGCACACACTTATGTTGTGGTCTCAATCGCATGTAGGGGGTTTGCAGAAGGTAGACATTCCAATATTCTCTAGCATCACTGATGTGTCTATCTCTGTCTCCCTCTGCCTTGTCTTTTAAAATCAATCCTATATAATAAAATGTTAATATGCAATTAGACTAAACTGAAGAACAACAAACAACCAACCAAACAACCAGTCACTATTAGCTGTGTTGACCACCATGGGCATGTGGAACATGGTGGGCATTGGCAGAATTCAGTAGATCAATGGACATGGATGGTATTGGCCATAGGAGGATGGTGGAACAGATGAATAAGGGTGCCAGACCAGGGTGGGGCACCAGTTGCTATCATCAGGGTGAGCCTCTGGTGGTTATTAAAAGGTGTTTCCTCTCTCGAGGCGTGTCCCACCTGGTGCTCCCACCTGCTGCTGATGTCAGCCCCACTTGCACCACAGCCAGTGCTGGAGCCGCCACTGAACACTCAGTGCAGGTGAAGGTCCAGATTGCTCTGCACCATAAGTGGGTGTGAGCAGTAGCTACTGGCCCCTATCTCCTCTGAGGGTTTCTCCACCCCCGCTTCTCTTAAGGAGCAATAGGGGCAGCAGCTGCCGCTTGCACCCGCTGTTGGTACCAGCCAAAATCACTCTGTGCCTTTGAGGAGGGCGAGTGCAGATAGTGTCAGAGAGCAGTAATAGCAGCAGTGGCATTGCTGGCAGATAGGAGACAGTGGCAGTGATAATCTGGGTTAGGCGGGGGCATGGAAGATAGGCCCAGACATGACCCTGTGACCACTATAGCCTTATGGTCCATAGTTCCTTTCAAGGTGCATGAATTCATGCACTGGTTCCCTAATAGAAATATAAAAAAATAAAACTAAATAATTTTTTGGATTAGACATACATATAAATTAAATGAATTCATTCCAAACACACAAATGATTGCCCATTTTTACTTCCTTATATAAAGGACATGTCTAATGTACTATTTAATCTTAAAAGAAATATTTGTGTGTGTGTGTGTGTGTGTGTGTGTGTTTTGCTTTTTTGTTTTTTTAATTTATGGAGCCACCCCCTCTTAGCGTGAAATGAATCTCATTCAGCACTCCTTTCAGGAGTATCCTTCAGGTGGTCAGCAAGCACAATCTTCACTTTTCCACATATCATTGCCTCCCAAATCCTATCACTGGCTAACTGCTTTGAATTTATCCAAATAAAAAACAATTTTTCTATCTCTTCAATTGTCTATGATTGTGGTTTTATTAGCATTTTCACACCATTAACTTCATTGATGATCTCCATGGCCCTTTTCTGTTTTAAAATTGTGCTAATCAGATTTTCTCAGCAACATAAATGTTCTTTCCTTTGTCTGTTGCATGATAGATGCTTTGTGTCATGCAGAGATATCAGCGTGAAAGGGTTGTCAGGTCAAGAAGTGAACTTTTGTTCCACAACTGGGACTTTTTTTTTTAATGTGGTCTAGAACCAAATTAAATGATATTGGAGATTTTAGAGTACTGAAGTTGGATTATAACTGTTTCACTGATGGTTCATTACATATAATAATTATAACATACCAATGTTAGATATTAATAATAAGGCATATTTGATATGGTATATAATCTTGCCAATTTTTCTGGAAATCTAAAACTAGTCTAAAATAAAACCACCATTAAAAGAACACTCAAAATACTAAGTAATGATAATATATGGGGATGATAGAATGAGCCACTGAATGGATGTAGGGTTTGAGAAACGGCTTAGAGAAACACCCCTCCCTGCCATGTGTTGGACAATAATTGAACTAGAGATGAGTGAGAGGTCATTTTGGGAAATATTTTAGGAACTATTTAGGAATAAGCTCTAACCATATCATCTGAGTCTTACCCATCATCACCCCCCCCACACTCCCTCAAGGATGGTCAAGTTGAAGCTTTGTGATGTAAAGCCTACCATGGCAACCACTGAGCGTTGGCCAATCAGAACTGAGGGGTGTGGCTCCTCATTGTCCTGGAGAGTATATATAGAGGCCAGGAGCCTCTGAGTATGGCCTATTGCTATAAGAAAGCCAGTTGCTAAGAAAATACTGTAGCTTAATTTAGATAACAAATCAGACTCCAATCGCTAGGATGGAGCCAGAGAGTTCAAGTACTAAAGAGAAATGGAAGACGGTTTTGCAAGTTGGTGACAAAGAAAAAGATAAGGTCAGACTACCCTACTCATATTCTCCTGCTTCTTTCCCAATAATTCCTCACCCAAGGCACTGGCCTTGCTCTTTTTTGGCACAGACACTTCCTCAATCAATCCATTGTCTTTCTTTTTTTTTCCCAACCCCCTTTCCCGCACAGGTTGTCCAGTTTATTGGAATAGAGTTATCCCTACTATTTTGTTATAATCCTTTGTATTTCGGCGGGGTCTCTTGTTATTTCACCTCTTTCGTTTCTGATTTTGTTTATTTGGGTCCTCTCTCTTTGTTTC